TCATTTTGCTGTTGTCAACACACACCAATCATGTGACATAATGAATCAAAGCTAAATAGCCATAGAAGAACGCCTTTAATGATAAAAAGAGAAGAATATATTGATGACAATGGCAAGAAAACCCGATCGACGTTGTGGTATCAAACTTAGTTTAAAGCTTGGGATTCCCTAGCGCGAACAACATAGGAAACTAAATAAGATCCAAAGTAATGGGCACTGCAAAGCTGTGGCAAACCAATAATGCGTCGAGTATAAAACACGTACTGGTAGGTCCTCAACAACTGCACTCACCACATAACGGCCAGAAGATTTGTGATCAGGAGTGAATTAGTTTGGATCCAGCAATTTCATCGTAAAAAGAATTATAGTGTTCAGGTAAATGTTTGCCTAAGTTGCTAACAATCAAACAGAAAGAACATCTCTACTCATACTATTGTACAGGATATATTTGAATTCTCGTAGATTGATCGTAACATTCTGAAAACAGTTATTACTCGCCATTTTGGTTCATAGAAACGACTCAAAAAATCAATTTCCTTTGTGGGGTAGAACCAGAAACCGATTTCACTTATTTATATGCCCCTATTCTTCAATGCTGAGGCATCGACCAAATGGTCATAAAAAAAATTAAGTATAGGTACTAGGGTAAAGCCTGGGCTCTAACATCACAAGTATTAAAATGCAGTGCACAAAAAAAAAATGGACCTACTTGAATAACTTGTGATCTATCCAATGATTGGATCTTCTCGCTCTAGGACTCAATCTTAATGGCTCGAGGGGGGGACTTAATAGGTGGAGACGGTATTTTAAGTTTAGAAACAGACACAAAAACGTACTTTCTCTGAGAAAACATACCATTTTTTTAAACGGATTCGTATTTATGACCTCTAAAATATAGGGGGTAGCCGCAATCTGGGAGATATGGCCCCAATAGTTTGGTTAGAATAGAGCTCAAAAGTTTGGACTCCGTAATGCTAATTTTACTTCATGGGTTTTTCGCTATATTTCGAGAACTTTTGAAGCGTATTGAAAAAATTTTACGCACAGTTATAAACTTTTTTAGCCAAAGATAATTCCATGCGAAAAAAAAATTTTGGTAAATATTTATTAGCTTTTATTACTTTATTAAAAAATGGTCGAAAATTTTTTTAGTTATAGGGTATACAATTTTTACGTCGTTTTAAAGAATGTAATTTTACATGGCGAAATACAAACTTTGCGAAAACGGTCGAATAGTTCCTGAGAATTTTAAAAATCTCAACTACTCAAAATTTGATTTCTCAGTAACTATTTTACCGATTTTGCTCAATTTTTGAATTTTGCCAAGATATAAAATTAAATTCTTTAAAATGATGTAAAAAATTTTATACATTTTAATTCAAAATTTTTTCTACCAGTATTAAATAAAATAATAAATATTTACTAAACGTTATTTTTTGCAAGGAATTATATTTGGATAATCAAATTTTATAATTAAGAGTAAAAAATTTTCAATTCGCTTAAAAAACTATCAAGATATAGCGAAATACGCAAAAAGTAAAATTAACTTTAAGGTTACAAATTTTGGAACACTCTCCTGACCTAACCATATTTCCCGGTTAGCTGCCACCCCCTATATTTTGAGAGTCAGAAATCTGAAAAATATCGGAAGGAGCTTTTGGGGGTTCCTTGCATATATTCTAAATAGTGTATTTTTCAAGTCATTTTCTTAATAAGCTTTGAGAATAATACTACAGAATTTCAATTCTTCAGAAAAATTATTGAAATTAATTTCAGTAAAAAAGTTTATTGATGAAATAGGAATTTGAGCTTATAACTTAAATTATGGGAAATCAAGGTAAATCGGATCCACGATTTGGAACATATTGGAATCAAAAATAAGTTATCATATCAGCACTAAATTTAACCTTCTTTTTTTTAATTTGTTGTAACTCTAATTCATGTAGGAGATAAAAAAAATTAGTTTTAATTTTGCAGTCATGTATTAGAAATATTAAATTGTTTTCGTGAAAAAACACTTGGAGAATTATACCAGAAGGTTCAATGAATAAGAAAGTCGCGTGTAAGAAACTAAAGCAATCAATCAATTCGCTTTATTTCTTTAAACAAAAACATAAAATGAAGTATTCAGTTATCAATGAATGTTCGTCAGGTCTAAATGTTTCCTTTTAAATAAATCTGTTCAATATTTAAACAACGCATTTAAAAAATAAAAGAACCGTAGCAGATCATAAAAACTACAAGGAAATGCACGCAATTAAATTATTAATAAAGTAAACCAACTGATACTTTGTCAAAAACATTCATTCATTACGCACGCGAGGCAAGAGCTGTTGTTTACATCATAGTTGCTGCGTTAAATATCTTTAAAGATTTCTATTACACAAGAAACTGCACTATATTTTTTATTGTTCAAACTGCTAACAGAAAATTTGTTTTATGTTTTTTTTTAGATCATTCGAGGTAAAGGTTTAAAAGGGCTTTAAATTTTTTATAGCTATTTAAATGATAACTATGGAAACACTAAACAATACCTTTCAAAGTTTGGCAATAATACAATTGAGTTTTTTTCCTTTTTTTTACCTTTGCATCGTTCAGAAAACAATGAACACATTATAAATAAATAGTTTGGAATTTTCACCTGCTTCGATATTATAATTTTATTACGGTTTTGTAAAATCTTTCTCAGCAATTTTGATATTATTAGTTACGAATTAGAGTAATTGTGGTAAATAAAGTATTGTGATGAAATGATGTTTGGAATGTTATGCATGAACAGTTTTCAATGGGTGAGAAAACATTAGAAAAATTTAGTTATTTCCTATAATAAATACACTGATTAAAAAAATTAAAAGGAGGAATGTTTTTTTAAGAACAAAATAAGTAACGCCTGTAAGTAAATAAGTTACCAAATGATAGCTATAAGGTCTTCTCGGATTCCTCTGCCACGCAGTAGCCGGTGGCATCATAATGCAATGACGCTGTGAACTCGTTTGTGTAAAATACCTTATTTGCTCTCATAAGCTGGTAGAGAAGCGTTTTGAAACGTAGCTTAGACCAATCATTACTTTTCAAATTTCTTGCTTATCCATCTTTAGCATGGTCACTCGTTATCGAATATACGATGTCACAAGATGGCGGATAGTTGGGAAACTCGAGACGGGCTGATCACTGACTACCTGTTGTAGGAATCTCGGGGGTTTCGATAAATGTGATGTTCAATCAGGGGAATCAATTCACAAACAGGAACAGTGGTCCGCCTATCTGGTAAAGTGGACAACGAAGGATGAAGTCCGTTATTTGAGACATCTAGCCAAAAGGGATAGGTCCACGAAACGACACAACTGTTTCTCAACCAGTATAACCGAGAATACCTGCCTTGGAGAGACAATGATTGGAGGTGCTTTTTTTCAGTGATGAATCATAATCCAGTTTTGACAGTGACTCGTAACGTGTTCGTATATGGCGAGAACTCCAGAGTCGATATTGCCCCTATAACATTGTCGAAGAAGACCACCAATGGTCGAGATAAGAAGGTCTGACGGCCTTGGCAGGGATGATGACTGACGGACTTTATGTATCAAATGGAGATACTTTGACCGATCAGCGTTATAGGGATGAGATCCTTGCACACTATGTGAGACTTTTTCGGGAGGGATATAAAGCAAATTTCAATTTTATGGATGATAATGCTAATTTATAAATGGCTAAGTTGGTCGACGAACACCTCCAATCGGATGATATTCAATGATTAGAATTGCCTGTGATGTCCCCCAACCTCAATCTTTTCGAACGCGTGTGGGACGCTCTTAGACTCTCAATTGCAGCTCGAAGACTAGCTCCAACGAACATCGGTGCCTTGGTGTAAGAGTTATTGCCAAAGGGATTGATAAGGAACCTGGTAAACTGTAGGAAACGCCGATGGAAGAGTTGTGTAGCTGTTAGTTGTGATGATATGCCCTCTTAGACATGTTAATTTATTTTAAACATAAAATAATAGAGGTTGAAAGACAACACTATTTTAATTTGAAACTTTAATAATTTTTTTTAATTCAACACTCTAATCAACCAGGTCAGGAACAATGAAGTATCCCAGTTTTATTATTTTAGGAGGGTTAATTTCGTTTTTGAAATCAATCTCACAAATAAAAATTACCTTACTCTCAGACTTGATTTTAGAAATTATGTTTAAAATGACTTTAAAACGTACCGTCAAAAAAGTTATTATTGCGTATTGTTAAAAATTTCTTAACGTTATAATCATACCTTAATTTCATCACCTAACTAGATTTATCCACATTAAAAGGTTTGAAAGGAAGCATTTTATTCATCAATTCCGAAGTTTTACAAAAGCTCCAGTTATGCCAATGGAAGCTATTATAAGTTTCCTGAAACTATGAAAATAACAGCAAATGAGGTACAGATTGTTTTTCAAGCTAAATATACCCATATACCTTATTTTATTTGTTCAATACAAAAATCAGCAATTTTTTTATGTGCTGCACAAAATTGACTATGCAAGGAGTAAAGTTAGCTCATTTCGTTTCATTTTATTACTGACAATGAACAATCGAGCCAATTCTGAGTTTACGGCTTACAATATTTAACTCCGCAGCCTTGTAATTTTGAGCCCAATCGAGAAGACAAGGGAACTGTTGGATCAAGCATTGGGGCAAACTAGACTTTGTGGACGACTTTTTGATGGAACAGATCCGCATTCGCATTACATGGTGAGGAAAATCATGAGAAACCCCCATAGTTAGAACGGTGACAAAAAGATATTAACACGTAATCCTTCCGAAAATGAGGATATTTTATGTCAGCACTGTGCTCGGTGTCCGTCGGGAGCAGAATTTACTTCGTCTAGCCAATAATGGGACTCGAACTGGGGCACTCCATTGGAAGCGAAAACTACATCCCCTGAGCCACCGCGACTCCAAGTAAAAGTTGACGATAATGTTAAGCAATATTAAAATACTTAAGAACAATATTTCACTTACCAACACATAAACAGCGAATGGCATAACGACAGCGGCCACTAGAAGATCTGCAAAAGCTAGGCTAACAATAAAGTAGTTCGTTACTGTTTGAAGAGATTTCTCTTTATAAACACTCAATATAACGAGTATATTTCCAACTACAGCTACCATAGGCAATGGGATGAGCAGAAGCGCCCAGAAGACTTTCTCAGATGTAAATTCTGCAGTTGTCGATACTTCGATACAAGTTTCATTACTGGAATTGCTACAGGAGGCGTTAATAAAATTCAGCTTCTGAGAAATATTCAGAAGGCTGTTTACGAATCCTATGTTACTTGGATCAAAGAGCACCATCTTGAATAATATGTATGGATGACTATGTAAAATATGAAATTTTAGAAAATCATTCCGTTTGAGTTAACATCTTGAAGGATTCTATGGAAGTGGCAATAACATCTTTTTCTAGCATTCAAGTCGAAACGTCTTCATTTACCGAGTTTCATCTGTCTCTGACAATGAAACTGGTTTCTGATTTCTGAAAAAAAATATTTAAATTAAGTACTAGTTGTATTAATAGAAATGTAATGAATAACTAGTGTTTCAATAAATAATTGTACAGTGCGAAAAGAAAGCGGGCCAAGTTGAATAACTTTTGATCTAATGATCAGATCTTCATGTCGTAAGACTCAATCTTAATGGCTCAAGAGGGTGATCTCAAATATGCTCATTAATAACTTATTGCGAAATCAGACACAAAAACGCACTTTCTCTGAATAACCATACCTTTCTTTCGACGGATTCAGATTTCTGACCATCAAACTATAGGGGGTAACCACAAATTGGAAAGTATGGTCCTAGTTAGGCCCTAGTTTGGTCTGGAGAACGATGATTCAATCTCGAGAATTTTATAACGAATCGAAAAACTTTTGCATGCAGTTATAAAATTTGTTTAGCCAAAGATAATTTAGTAAAAAGAAATAACTTTTAGCAATTATTTGTTACATTTTATTATTTTATTTAAGAATGGTAAAAAAGTTGAGTTGGAAGGAATACAAATTTTTAAATCATTATTAAAGATATAATTTTAAAGGGCATAGTACAAAAATTGAGAAAAAGTGATCGAATAGTTTCTGAGAAATCGAATTTTAAATATATCACGTTTTAGAAATAAAATTTCTCAGGAACAAGTCAACCGAATTTGTTCAAATTTCGTATTTTGCCATGAAAAATGATGTTCTTTATAAATATGTAAAAATTTGTATATCTTACAATTCACAATTTTTTCCACCGTTACTAAATAAGAAAATAAAAAAATAACTTTTTACAAAAATTAAATATTCTTTTTTTTATCTCTAAATACTTCGAATTAAATTTTGAATTATCTCTGAAACAACGATTTTTTTTAATTGTGTGCAAAAACGAATTTTGAACAGAAAATTTTTTCTAGATACAGAAAATTACGTAAAAAGCAAGATCAACATTAAGGGGTCCAAACTGTGCTGACCAAAAAATTGGGATCATACTTTCTAGTTTGCGGCTAACCCCTACATTTCAGGGATCAGAAATCCGATTTGTCGAAAAAAAGGTATGTTTATTCAGAGAAAGTACGTTTTTGATTCCAATTTCATAACTTAAAATATCGCCTGCACTTATTAAATAGCATATTTGAGGCCACCCTCCCTAACACTTAAGATTGAGTCCCAGAGCATGAAAATCCAACCATAAGATCAAAAGCTATTCCGGGTGGTCCATTTTTTGGAGCATCGTACATGGCACAAAATAAATGAACGAGAATACTCTGAATAAATTTTTAATCGTCATTTTTTGCGTATTAGAACTACATCTTAATAACTCCAAAACCTAACCTTAAATATGCTAATTGATTTGTGCAGATGATATTTTAATTTACGAAATCAGGCACATAAACGTACTTTTTCTGAATTAATAAAACATTTTTTTTGACGGATCTGTATTCCTGACCCTAATATTATAAGGAGTAAACTGACCCTAATATTATAAGGAGTAAACGAATAAAATCTGGCTCCAATAGTTTTGACAAATGAGCGATTGAAAGTTCGGACCCCTTAAAGTAAATTTTACGTGTTGTGTAATACGCTATATCTCGAGAATTTTCAAAGTCAATTGAAAAAAGTTTGCACGAAGTTTATAAATCGTTTCTCCAAAGAAAACTAAAAGCAAAAACTATTTTATTTCTTTTATAATTACTTATTATTATTTCATTTAATAAAAGAAAAAAAAATATTAGTACGAGTAGAAGTTTTTTGCATTATTTTAAATTCTTATATTTTAAATGACGAGGCACTAAATTTGCATCGAATCGAATCGGTCGAATAGTTCTCGAGAAATCAAATTTTAAGCATACGACTTTTTTGAGAAGTCGAAATATGCAAAAGTAAAATTAATTTGATGAGGATTTAACTTTCGACCTATCTCCTGACTATGAATGCCGTATTTTGCAGATTCAAATTACCACCCATAAATTGAGGCCTCCAAAATTCAGCAAGTACTGCTCTCTGAAATTTTAATACAAATTTTGAGCAAATACTGCTCTCTGTCTGATTACGCTATTTAAAATATCGTATGCAGTAGTTACTTAGAACATTCAAGGTTCAGAATTCAAAAGATTCAGATTGAATTTTCTATGTGAAATCCAATCATGAGATCAAAAGCTATTTAAAGAGTTCCTATTTTATTTATTTATTTTCAATTATTAAAAGCAAGGAATACACATAAATAAAATTAATAGATATAAAAAATATAAGCACATTATAATACTAAAAATATGTTTCTTAAGGGCCTCTTTTTAGACAGGAAAACAATTTTATTTATCTACAGGGAATCATTTGCTCAGAATTTTTTTTTCTTTTTCACATTGGTATTTTAGAGCAATTTCTGTTTAATTACTTTTTTAACGAATTTCAAATTCAGTAACATTGTTCAATAGAGCGTATTTAAATTAATTAATTGAAAACATATTGAAAAATATAAATTAGTTACTAAATAAATAAGGAAATTCCTGACAAATTCCTATGGGGGGGGGGGGTAAAATCTTTTAATTCCTGAAAGAGGTCCTTTAGACTTTATGGAGCTTTCTGTTTTCGTATCGTTTAAAAGCTTTTAATTTTTATACAAATGTTACTTTTTTGTCTAAGTATAGTTTCTGAGCTCTTTGTCCATATAATGTTTCTACACAGAGAAACTCTAAGTATAGTTACTGAGCTCTTTGTCCATATAATGTTTCTACACAGAGAAACTTTAAGTATAGTTTCTGAGTTCTTTGTCCATATAATGTTTCTACACAGAGAAACTCTAAGTACAGTTTCTGAGCTCTTTGTCCATATAATGTTTCCACACAGAGAAACTCTAAGTATAGTTTCTGAGCTCTTTGTCCATATAATGTTTCTACACAGCGAAACAAAGTACGGCCAAAACTACCAAAATTTAGTAACATTTATCTTGCTTTTGGAACAACGAAAAGCTCTGTAATTTTCACTGAAATTGCCTCGGTAATGATTTTGATGAAATTAAAAATAAAATATGGAATTTTAATGTGTGAGAAAAATTTGTTAATTTTAAGATGATACCTTAGAGCATGGTGTAAAAATCATTCATTTGGTTAAATTTATTTTTCAGTTTTACATTTTTTTTTCTAATTGTGTGACAAAAAAACTATAATTTTGAAAACTAGACTTTCCAGTAAATTGTTACCATATGAAATGAAAAATTACCAAAATAATAGTTTAAATATTTATTTTAGTTTTCATGACCAGAAATATAGGTTTTTCTACGAGCAATTTTAGCATAACTTCCTCCCCCCCCCCTGTAACATAAAATAATAATTTTGCACTTTTTATGAGAAAATTTGTGTAAAAAAATAAATAATTCGTTAAATAAAATAATAATTTGTTGATAAGCACGAACAACTAACAACATCATTAATAAACACTAACATGACGATTAATGCTTTATATTTCAATCATATTCAGTGTGATTATGACGAATCCTCATTATATTTGTAGCTGTATTAGCTAAGTAACTGTTCAGTCATGTAACGGAAAACTTTATTTTTGAACCAAACCCTTAATCAATGATGGTACTTATTTCTATAACCAAGGCAATAAAAATAAACTTTTTCCGCATCGACATTAGCAATTTATAAACTAAAAGCAATATCATTTAAGACTGATACTTCGATTATTTAGTGTATAAAAGGTAGTTAATGAATAAGTTAGTACTCTAGTAAGTTAAAAAAACAGACTTTTAATAAATATTGCATCGAGTACTTTTGTGTTTTTCATTTATACGGGAACTTTTGGGACATCAGTTAGATAAATATGACTTTATTTTAAGTTCCTTAAAAGAATTGCTTTGATTGCACTTGACTGTAGGAACAACAACCTTTCGTTAAATATTGACATTGGTTTATCTAAAATGGAGAATAACTTTAAAAGCTTTTTATTACCAAGGGAAGGAAAGTTGCAATTTAAGAGTCTTAAACTTCAAACTAAGTTTTAACTTTTAAGTGTAGTGTTTCTTAATCCTTCATATAAAAGAATAACAGCGATGTTAAAGGATTCAATTTGTACACATTGATTTGACAAAAAAATTAAATCATTTTTGAATTAAAATGCTTTTAAATATTCTAAAAGAATATATAATCAAAGAGCTTTAAGTTATTCGAATCTAGGTAAAAATTAAAATATATGCGGGTCTGGTTTTCGGGTTAATTTAGAAGGAAAGTTTGTTAAATGTCAAGTGTATTTCTTGAGTTAATTAACCGGCGAAGATTAAAAAAATAACTATTTTTATTTTATTTACAAAGCGGTTTCAGATGAAGACTTTAAGTAGAAGCAAATACATGACAAAACGGTCTGATTTAAGTAGAAATGAAAAGAATATAGTTTTGTTAGACTTTTAATCTAATAGTTTAGTTATAAAAAGCATTCAGATGATTCAGCATGATTAGACTCATTTGAGCATTTTGTGAAGCAAATACAAAAATAAACTAATACTGTTTTGTGAGACTTTTTAATCTGAAAGTTTAATTATACACAACATTCTTCTCATTCAAAATAGTCAGACTAATCTTAGCCTTTTTTGTAGCAAATGCATCACGAAATGATCAGATTTAAGTAGAAACGAGGAGAATGCAGTTTGTGAGACTTTTAAGTCTAAAAGTTTAGTTGTATATAGAGATCATTCTGACGATTCAAGACTGTCAGACTCATCTGAAACTTTTTTGAAGCAAATGCATCACAAAATGGCCAGATTTAAGTAGAAACGAGGAGAATGCAGTTTGTGAGACTTTTAAGTCTAAAAGTTTAGTAGTATAT